CCTCTCCCTTTGATGGCCAGAGACAGAAGGAGGCCAACTATATTTTTCTTATAAAACTTTGAATACATTAGCCCACAGTCTTCGGATCTCCAAAATATGATAAAAATTTGCAGAAATCTTGTTGAGGATCCCTTGTATGTGATGACTTACTTCTCTTGCTGCTTTCAAAATTTGCCCTTTGGTCCTGGCCAGTGTTGCTCAGTTGGTTGAGCATTATCCAGTGCACCGAAAGGTTGCTGGTTGGATTCCTAGTCTGGGCACCATAGAGCAACACATGCCTGTGTTGCAGGCTCAATCCCTAGTAGGGGATGTGCAGGAGGCAGCCAGTCATTGTTTTTCTCTCTCTCTCTGTCTTCTCTCTCTAAAATCAATTTTTTTAAAAAAATTGGCCTGGCTGGTGTAGCTCAGTGGTTGAGCATCAACTTTTGAACCAGGAAGTCACAGTCTGATTCTAGTCAAGGCACAGGTCAGTGTGTGGAGTGCAGGAGACAGCCGATCAATGACTCTCTCACATCATTGATGTTTCTATCTCTCTCTCCTTCTCTCTTCTTCTCTAAAATCAATAAAAATATATTTATTAAAAAATTGGAAACGTATTTGCCCTTTGTCTTTGAAAGTTTGATTATAATGTGTCTTGGTATGTGTCTGAGTTTATTTTTCTTAGAGTTTGCTGAGCTTCTTGGATGTTTATATTCATGTCTTTTCTAAAATTTGGAAAGTTTACAGCCATTATTATTTTTAAAATATTCTCTCTGACCCTTTCTTCTGGGACTCCCACAATGCGCACGTTAGTCCATTTGGTGTTATCCCATAGATCTCTATACTCTTTACATTTCTTCAGTATCTTTTTTTCTGTTCCTCAGGTTCTATAATGTCTTTTTTGTTTGTTTTTATTTGTTTATTGTTGTTAATCCTCACCTGAGGATATTTTTCCATTGACCAGGAATCGAACCCAGAACCCTATGGAGTGCAGGCTGATACTCTAACCATGGAGCACCAGCCAGGGTACCATTTTCTTTTTTATCTTCAAGATCACTAATTATTTTTTCTGCTTCTGAATTTTTCTAGTAAATTTTACATTTTAGCTGTTGTAGTTTTCAGCTTCAGAATTTCTTTGTGGGTTTTGTGTGTGTGTGTGTGTTTGTGTTTCCTTCTCTTTATTGATATTTCCATTCCATTCACACATTTTTCAAAAAATTTTCTCTACATCTTCCTTTGAGTATCCTTAAGATTATTGTTTTAAAGTCTTTACCTGCTATATCTGCCATTAAGACCTTTAAGGGACAAATTCTTTTTAATATATTTTTATTTTCAGTGAGCCATATTTTCCTATTTTTTTATATGCCTTCAGATTTATTTGTTGAACACTGGGCATTTGAATCTAATTATGTGGTAACTCTGGAAATCAGATTCTCCCCCTCCCCCAGGGTTTACTTTTTTCTTGTTTTTGTTGTTGTTGTCACTGCTTTTGTTTATTGTTTTTGATGCTGTCTCTATGCTGAGGATCAACCTGAGGTGTAAACTTAATGCCTTTTTATGTCTTTTCTGAACCTTTCCTTAGGTTGTGCATAGTCTGTTTTTAATTTACCTAATATATGCTGGTATTTTTGAATGTCCTGTTCTTTAATGTTTCGCTTCTCAAAGGGGAAAGGTGAAAAATGAAGGAGGAATAAAAGGGCACTGGGTTTTTAGATTTCCCAGAAGTTACTTTAGTCAGAGGTAGGAGGAGCTTGGCAACAGTCTGTCCACATCTTTGTCTGCACATCTGAGATCAGAAGTAGCAATCAGAAATTAGAGCACACATCCCCAGTATTTGGGGGACAGTCTTTTGCCTACCTTCCTATGATGGAAGCTTAGATTATTGACTTTAGATCTCTCTTCTTTTCTAATATTTTGAATTGCTATTAATGTTCCTCAAAACACTGCTTTTACCGCACCCCACAAATAATAAGTTGTATTTTTATTTTAAAAGTTTTTGAGATTTTTACTCATATATTATTTGGGAGTATGTTGTTTAATTTTTAAATACTTTGTGGTTTTCTAGCTTTCTGGTTTTGATTTCTAGATTAATCCCATTTTGTTCTGAGAGTACATATTGTAAGCTTTCTGTTTTTCGAAATTTGTTAAGGTGTGTTTTATTTTCTCTAGTGAGGTCTATCTTGGTGAATTTTCAATGTGATATTTATAAGAATGTGTATGCCACTGTTGGATGAAGCAGTCTTTAGATGTCAGTCATATCCAGTTGATAATGCTGTTGAGTTCAACTCTGTTTTTACAGATTTTCTACCTGCTGGATGTGTTCAGTTTTGATAGGTGGATATTGAAGTCTCCAGCTGTCATACTGGATTCCTCTATTTCTCCTTACAGTTCTATCAATATTTGTCTCTTGTATTTTGAAGCTCTGTTGTTAGGTGCATGAACATTAAGGATTGTTGTGTGTTCTTGAGAATTGATCGCTTTATCATTACATAATGTCCCTCTTTATCCTTTCCCTTAATAATTTTCCTTTTTTTCTGAAGTCTGCTTTGTTTGAAATTAATGTAGCAACTTTTTTTGATTAGTGTTAGCATGATATATCTTTATTACTTTACTTTTGATCTATCTTTATATCTTCATTTCTTCCTTCTTCAATGCTCTTTCTTTCTTTCTGTAGATTCAGTTCTCTAACAGCTCTAATTTTTCAGTCTTCCTTCCCTCCCTTCATTTGGAAGTCCAGGGATTTGCTCTTAATCCTCTTCTCACCCACATCACTCTTCCCTGATGACCCTATCTCTGTTTGCAGCTTTAACTCACACCTGAACGATGAGGTCTCCTCAGTCTTAGTGTCCTGAGTATTTGACATCCTATGAATTTATTTTTGTAAACCCTGCATTCTTGTCTCACAATTGCCCACACCCTCCTTTCTTCTCCCACTGACGTGATACCCATTTCGCTTCTTTGTCTTCACTGCTCAGATTAAATGACTCTGCAACTCTGTCCACCCATTTGCTCAAGCCAAAAACCTGCTTCTAGCCTGTTCTTTCTTACCCTCTAAATCCAGTCATTCACACAGTCCTGAAAATTTTTCACTTAAAAGAAAAACAAATTCAAATCTGCCTCCTTATCCTTGATCCCACTGCTATTGCTCTCATTCAGGCTCTTAATATTTGCTCTGTTCTCCATGCCTCTTCCAGTATTCCCCACACTACTGTCAACCTCTCAGTGTTGGCATCAGGTTGCTTCTCTCTTGCCTACAGAAGCAGTCTTTCATATCTCCTGACCTGTAAGCAATCCATTAAGGATATGTACATAAAATATAAGAAATTGTTTAGATTTATTTTTCTGTATCTTATCTTATAAAAATGTCTATTTTTTTGTTTGTTTAAAAATGTAGTAGAACAATAGCACATGCAGATAATTTATAAATATATTTCTATTTAGGTTGAATACTCTTGAATACTCAAACAATATTTTATTGGTAGGGTTACATAATCAAAAAGTTAAGAGACCATGGGCCTACAATATAAAATTCTGATTCCTCAGGTTGGTGTCTCAGGTCCTCAGTTGTCTGGACCTGACCACTTGTGTCCAGTCTCCTCTCCCTCTCATTTCCCATTTGTTCCCTGCATTATGAACGCACATATTTATCTACCTGATTACTATAAGTTACCAGTCTATTTCATGCCTTCATATGGCTGTCACATTGTTGCTTCTCCTTGGAATTGCCTTCTTACTTCTCCCTTGTCTCATCCTTCATTCCCACCCTGCCCTGCAAAATCCTGCTTCTTAATTTTAACCCATTCTGGTACAGGTAAAGTCATCATGTACTCTTTTGCTGCCCTGCTATTTAGTACTTGTTCACTCATTCCTTTAACAGTGTCTGTTGAACAACTTCCCCTAGCCCCTGTCTAGGCTCAGGAGACAGTATAGTCATTTCACTTCTCTGCCTCCTTCACTGTGAGCTTCTTGGAGACAGACTCTCTTCTCATTCCTTACATCCAGCATCCCCTTGGTTTGTCGACCACCTGCATGAGTGAATCAGTGAGTGAGTAAGGACACTGGACCACTAGCATCTCTTTCAACATTGAGATTCTATTTTTATTTAAAAATTGATCAGAAACTAAGTTGTAAATTTGTGGATCTCTATAGCCCAAATCTTATTTGTGGTGCAGTTTATGCTCACTCACTAAATCAAATCACCCATTTAGTAATAAGTCTAGGTTTGTATATTTTTATTTGTATGTATACATGTTGTTAATCCTAGAAAGTGGAATAAAATAAGTACTTGACTATTATTCTAGAGCTATGCTTTCTGGCTGTGGTTATAAAGTTTGGCCTGACTTAATGACTCTAAAGTGAATATTTATTCCTGTGTTCTGGATGTCCTTTGGTTTATATTGCACTAGTGCATTAAAATGTTGGTTTTAGATGAGGAATAATTAGCCTTGCTAGTATGCTGTTCTTTATTTAAGAAATAAAAAACAAAACAGATAAATTAATTGTTTATATTACAGATATTTCTCCATTAACAAATATTTTAACAGGTGTGAATTTTAAGTTCACTTCATGTGTCTCAGAATTTGTATTTGTTTAATATTTACAAAAATGTGTTACAGTTTTCATATTGTAACACGTTTCATAAAGTGAGGTTTACTGTTATAGCTAAACTGGTCAGATTTTGTATATAAGTATGTATATGTATAAAATAAAAATCGTGTATGGTATGGTTGATTGAGATAGACAGACCGCTTAACTGAATCAGTGAAAGACTAAACCTGAAAGGAGTGAAGATTAAGGAATGGTATGTCTACCATAATTACTAGTATTATTTACTACTAGTAATAATTAGACTGCTTATCTTCTGAAGAAAACTGAATCTGAAATGTTAGAAACATACCTTTATGTTTTAATCCTTTTTAAATAGCTGGTGTGATTCTAAATTTTAAATGAAAAGCTCTTTGAATTTACCTTATGAAACGGAATTAAACAAAATGCTTTTGAACTTTTTTTCTTTCTCTTAGGTATAATATTGAGCCCAGTTTATATTGCCCATTTTTCTCCCTTGGAGCATGCATGGAAGGCCTTAATATTTTATTTAATAAACTGTTGGGAATTGCATTGTATGCAGAGCAGCCTGCAAAAGGAGAGGTGTGGTGTGAAGATGTCCGAAAACTGGTAAGCATCCCAGTTTGTGTAAAGTTGTATTACTTTACTATTTCTTGGGTTTAATAATTGAGTTAATAGCACTTTCATCTTTAAGTTAGTTTTGCCTATTGGAGCAGCTCTCACCTTAGTCCTGTTTTACAAAAAACCTGAATGACCACTTCTGACTTAGGACACTGTATGAAAGAAACATTGTTCTCTAAAATCAGTTGCTGCTGAAAATTAATGTAAGTATATAACAGCAGAGTTAGTTCTTTGAAAAAAATATATTTAGGAATCTGCTAGGAGGTTGAATCTTCATATGTTTGACAAATTGTAATTAAAGGAAAATCTGTCATTACTTTTTTACATTCCTGCCATGCTAAGTGTCCTTTTAGGTTCATTTCTGAACCCACTGCATTGGTCACATTTCCTTTTCTTCCAACCCCTTCCAATTTTGTAAGAGCTTAATTTGCATGAGATATGAATTTATGTCCCATGTTTTGATTTGAATTCTTTGGTAATAACTTTAAGCCTAGAATCCACTTGTCTCCCTTAGAGCCCACTTTGTTTGAGGCGTGAGTATTTTTATTGTTCCCTGATAAGAGTTTCAAGATTTATTGACCCATATGTTTATCACGAAGACTTTGTGTTGTTATGGTGTTTTACGTGTTGTTTATTTGCCTATCACACAGTACTCTTGTCACTATATTTCAAGAAACAAAAGCTATCTCATTGTTCCTTGGCTTGTTCTGTGAACATGGAATCGATGTAGTGGTGGAACTGAAAGGATAGAATGAATGGGAGCACCTTATATCACTGTACTTAATTATCTAAGTATTCTCTGTTTGTATATAATGTACTTCAAAAAATGATAGAGATTGATAAAATACAGATGTATAGTGAAAAGAAAACTGGTAACAAGAATAGAAGGATAGAGTGTAAAGGACAAAGAAGTGTCTGCAGGATGTGAGCCCCCTGGGCAGGACTATTTGTGTTTTGTCCACTGCTGTATGCCAAATACTATGAACAGTTCCTAGCATCCAGAAGGTGTGAACAGATGTTTGTTGAATTAATAATATATGCTTTATAGGAAGTTTTAAAGCATAAAACTTAGGTTCTCTTTGGCAGAATCCTCAAGGTGTAAAAAAGACAAAGAAGGCAGGATGGAGACTAGTGGTTGAGCCTTCTTAGGTTCAGTTTTGGGAAAAGTCATAAATAATGATTTTATTGATCGTCAACTGAAACCAGAGGCTACCTTTTGTTGTTTCTGTGTCCAAGGGTTATAATTTGTATGAACATATATCATTACATTCTACAGTTTGAAGGAAAAATAATTTTGCTGCTAAAACTTTTGAGACAACATTTATTTCCAACTCCTTTTGGTGATTTCTGAACAATCTGTGGAGCTATATTTGGTAGAGGTATCAGTTGAATGGCCCAAACAAGGAGGGTTTCTTCTCCTGGACAGAATTACCCAAATCAAAATCATCCAAAAGATGAAGAGAAAATAGACTCTATCTTGAAATAATATGGGATGTAGAAAGTAATAAAATGTCTATATTTATAGCTGTGCATGATTTATATACAGGATGGTGCAAAAGTAAGTTTACGGTGGTTCATATGGAAAATAATACAATAATTAATAAATAATAATACAAGAATAAGCTGTTTCGTGTACTCATAACTATAAACCTACTTCTGCCACAACCTGTACAGATTCTTGTGTTGAGGATTGTTTTCAACTTATAGAGTTTCTGATTGACTCATTTACCACTAAATTAAATTGTTTTTTCTAGGCTGTGGTTCATGAATCTGAAGGATTGTTGGGGTACATTTACTGTGATTTTTTTCAGCGAGCAGACAAGCCACATCAGGTAATGCTTTATTTATAATCTAGTCTCTCTAAAAATGATCAGTAGTTAATTTATATTAATGTGAACATATCTTTTTTGTAGTTCCCTAATATATAAAGGGCATTAATGATAATTACTAAGTATGTTAATTTGAGATTAGCTGTGAATTTAAAAATAAACATTATGAAAACCATTAGATATGCCTGTATACTAATCTGTCACTTTTATCTGTGTCATGGTAATAATGATAGCTGATATTATATGAATCCTTCTATGTCACATCATGTTTTTGAATGTTCACCTCAACCTTTGAAACTAGACACTAATATTATGAGGAAACTGAGGCTAGAGAGGTTAAGTTGGTTGCCCTGAGTCACACAGCTAGAAGTGCTAGGATTTGAACCCAAGCATTCTTACTATAGCCCCAACTCTTAACCACTTTCCATACTTGTTAATGGACCTAGTTTAAAATTGCGGAAGATACAGAAGTCCCCCCCTCATTTATGAAGGATACTTTCTAAGACCCCAGTGGATGCCTGAAACCAAATATAGTACCGAACTCTATACATACTGTGTTTTGTACATACATACCCATGATAAAGTTTAATTCATTGTAACGACTAACTAATAATAAAATAGAACAGTTATAATAATATACTGTAATAAAACTTAAGTGAATGTAGTCTCTCTTACTCTGATAACTGATCTGATACTGAGATGACTACTAAGTGACTAATGGGTGGGTAGTGTATACAGCATGGATATGCCAGACAAGGGATGGCTCACATTCTGGGAGGGATGCAGCAGGATAGTAAACAATTTCATCATGTTACTCAGAACAGCACGCAGTTTAAAACTTAAGAATGGTTTATTTCTGGAATTTTTTTATTTACTATATTTGGACCATGGTTATCAGCCAATAACAGAAATGGAAAGTGAAACTGCAGGTAACAGGGAACTGATGTATCTTTATATTGGAAACCTTATCCACCACCAATTCACTTCTTTTGTGAAATATGTGAGGTTCATTCCTTTCCTTAACTGTGTACTGGTATAGCAATCATCTTCAACAGTTTTAGGCAATTTGATGGGAAATGTTAAGAGTTCAGGTTATCAGCCCTGGCTGGTTTGGCTCAGCGGATGGCGCATCGGCCTGCGGACTGAAGGGTCCCGGGTTCGATTCTGGTCAAGGGCATGTGCTGGGGTTGCGGGCGCATCCCCAGTGGGGGGCATGCAGGAGGCAGCTGAATCGATGTTTCTCTCTCATTGATGTTTCTGGCTCTCTATTCCTCTCCCTCTGTCTTCCTCTCTGTAAAAAAATCAATAAAATATATTTTTTAAAAAAAGAGTTCAGGTTATCTATAATAATAAAATCATAATATGCTAATGAGACCGGACAGACAAACGACCTTCCAGACGTCCTTCCGGATGTCCTTCTGAATGAAGCCAGGGCTACGAGGGCTGAGGCAAGCCACCACAGCTGTGAGGGCCGAGCTCCGTGTACGAATTTCGTGCATTGGGCCTCTAGTAAGTTATAATAGAAATAATGGTACCTTATATTTAAATAGTGATTCATATTTTCGAAGCATTTTAATAGATGTGAGCTTATGAAATCTAGGCAACTACTCTGGGATTTGACAAGGCAGAGATGAAGCTCGTAAAGGCAAACCAGTTTCCAAAGTGATTGGGCTGGTAGGTGAGGAAGGTGGGACCATAATGTAGGTCAGTGGTCGGCAAACCGTGGCTTGCGAGCCACATGTGGCTCTTTGGCCCCTTGAGTGCGGCTCTTCCACAAAATACCACGTGTGGGCCCGCACGTACAGTGCGATTGAAACTTCGTGGCCCATGCGCAGAAGTTGGGTTTCGGCCTGGGTGAGTCTATTTTGAAGAAGTGGCGTTAGAAGAAGTGGGGAGTGTCCGTCAGTCAGGCGACGGGAGACGCAGCGTGGGGGAGGTGCGCGCAATTCATGCACAAGTTGAATTCATGCACAAGCTGAGCGAGCCAGTCGGTCAGCAGTGTCATTGTGCAGTGATTAGTGCTAGTCGCGTAGCAAATTGCTCGTGGGTGACAAAAGTACCAACTCGAAGCATAAAGTTACCTGTATTTTTTAAGTATGATATCAAGTTTCATTCAACGTACCTATAGTTTAAGACTTAAAACTTTAAGTAAAGTTTATTAAGTTAATTTTAGGGAACGTTGTGGAGTGAAAGAAGATGTAGTGTCGAGGATTGAGAAAGGTATGTTGAGATGGTTTGGACATGTAGAGAGGATGAACGAAAGGAGATAGATGAAACAAGTATACAAGACGAGTGTGGATGGGAGAGTTGGAAGAGGTCGACCTCAGCGAACGTACCTCAATCAGACTGAGGACGTTTTTAGCAAAGTCCAGCTTAGGAGTACACTAATTAAGTTAATAACAATGTACCTACCTATATAGTTTAAGTTTAAAAAATTTGGCTCTCAAAAGAAATTTCAATCGTTGTACTGTTGATATTTGGCTCTGTTAATTAATGAGTTTGCCGACCACTGATCTAAGTCATCAGACACTGATTCCTGTATTCTTCCTCTTTGCTTGAATGGCTGGTAGAGAGTCTAGGTTAGTGATTAAGAACTCTGGCTCCTGGTAGTACAACTGGGTTCAGATCTGAGATGCAGCAAACCATGACAACATCTCCAAGACTCAGTTTCTGTTTTCTGATCTGCAAGGTGAGATTCTTGCCTCATAGGGTTATTGTGAAGAATAGTGATAAAATATTAGTGAATCTCAGCTTGTTATAGAAAATTTGCTTCAGATCCCTTGCTTTTTGCAATTTTAGAGTTTATCAATTTCAAGTGATAACGACAATTGGTATGGGCAGTATCCCCTAGTTCATTGAAGGGGCTCAATAAACAATAGTGTCCCTTCTCTTAGTAGCTTCATGTCTGTCACTTCCTGTTTGCTTTAATGCATGGATCTTAGCTCTGTAATGATAGCATTTCCAACATATGGTACAGCAGCTGAATACATATTTTTGCAGTGAATGAATAAATCAACATAAGCTCAATATATTGGTGTTTTTAAAAATTTACATTTTAACAAAAAGTTGAGAAAAATTTGTGTGTATAACTAAATAAATAGAATAATAATAGAGTTAAGTTAAAATTTGAACTCAGAACACATTTTGGTATAATTTTATGTTCATTAACATTATTATACCTTTTAGACTACCTAACACATTCTTCTAATTATGTTTTCTGATTATTAAAGGATTGCCATTTTACAATCCGTGGGGGGAGATTAAAGGAAGATGGAGACTATCAACTTCCAGTTGTAGTTCTTATGCTGAATCTTCCCCATTCCTCAAGGAATTTACCAACTTTATTAACTCCTGGAATGATGGAAAATCTTTTTCATGAAATGGGACATGCAATGCATTCTATGCTGGGACGTACTCGTTACCAACATGTCACTGGTGAGTCATGAAGAGGACTTTTATTTAATACAATTCTTTAAAAACATTTTATTATAAATAGGAAGAAAAAAAAGCTTTTTATTTAGAAAAACATCATTTAATATTGCCCTGTGGTCATTTATCAGCATATTGCCTCGTCTCCTTTCAATTGTACAACCCAATCCTCTTATACTTTTTTGCTTCCTTGCTAACATTTTGCAGCAAGGAATAAGTCCCAGTTGTCCATCTTTTGAGTTTGTACTATTTTATATTTTGTGCAGTTTTTTATGAAATTTAAATTTGTAGCTCTGTGTGCATAAGAATAAATATATATCTCCTTAGAACCTAGCACAGAGTAAATGAATGAATGTTGCCTCTTTTTATCCAAAATCAGTAAGAAAACATAGCAGAACATGTTGAAAAAGTATGATAAATTACTTTTTATTTCCCCCCTATATAAAATTATAGTTTTTCATGCTGATCTGTGGCCATATTTGATGATACTGTAGACTTTCCTTTTAGCTGTCTCATCTCTAAATCTTATGCCTAGACTACCTGGTAAATTGTTCATATTCAGTTTTTATTAACTACCTTAATACACACAATATTTTGAGGGAGAAGAAGATAGAGTGGAACCTTGGTTCTCCAACTTAATTCCTTCTGGAAGACTGTTCAAATAGCAATTTGTTCGAAAACTAAATCATTTTTTCCCATTAGAAATAATGTAAATTGAATTCATCTGTTCCAGACCTACAAATGATTTCTGTTTTAACCTTTCTGATATACAGTACATGTCTAATGTACTGTTTAACCTATATGTAAACACTTCTTTTTTAAAAATTATCGAACCATCCCCTACTGGCCTTAAGAGAATCACTTTCAGCATTGTTCCAGGGGTGTGTCAGCATACAACATCTTTGCTTGTTCGTATATCACTGCCACCGAAATGCTGTCACTGGCTAACTGCTTTTCCTTTATCCAAATGAACAGTAGTTTTTCTACCTTTTTCATTGCCTGTATCATTGCTTCTTTCACACATCAAGCACTCTTTAGGGCTTCTTTATGTTTTAGAATTGTGCTAATAATCCATTTCTCCAGCAACAAAAGCATAAAAAAAAACACAGAAAACCCCACAAACAAAATATTCACAGCATAATTTCCTGAGATGGTAACAAGATGGGTTTAGAGGTAAACTGACTTGCATTCTTTCCTTTGTTTGTGGTGTGAGAGACACCTTTTGTCCTGCTGATGTATCTGCATGAAAGGGTTGTCAGGTTAAAAACCAAAGTTTGGTTTGACAACCTAGACATTTTTTCTTTGACTAACTTGGTAGAGAACCATATTGTTCTAGATGGGAGACTGACATTCCTTCAAGAAACCAGGTTTGACTGTTTTTGAAAAGATTGTAGATGGGCTGAAAGAATCATAAAATGTCACCAAAAATTATTATAGGATTTGCTATTTTAAGTAATTTTGAGTTTAAAATATTGTTTTTTTTCTTTGAGGATTGACTTTGTTACAAGAAACAATCAATGGATAAAATGCTATTTTAAAAGAAATGAAGGATAAAAATATTTGGTGGTGGAATTCAGTGAATTAAATACAAATGCTATTTTAAATGTCAGAATGTTTTAATGTGCGTTTCATGTATATTCCAGCATAGCTGAACCCAGGCTTATTTGTAGAGGGTTTGAGTCACTGCTTTATAAGGTGTTTTATCCAGCTGTGCAAATATTTTGTTTTACTTTACGTTTGATATGCAGGAAAATGTACAGGATTATTATAAACTTTTCTGCAAATATGTGCAATAATTTTATAGAAATAAAACATTGAAGTAATCAAAGCTTGTCATAGTTCATCAGAAGTATAAATGAAAATTTTAAAAGAATATACAAAAAGAAAGATAAATATGTTGATTTGATTCTTGCCAACTTTATTTTTTCCCCATTTTAGGGACCAGGTGCCCCACTGATTTTGCTGAGGTTCCTTCTATTCTGATGGAGTACTTTGCAAATGACTATCGAGTGGTTAACCAGTTTGCCAGACATTATCAAACAGGGCAGGTAGGGAAACTAATTTGTAATACAGTCCTTTAAGTTGTGATTGCATTTATGACCTCCTGGGTAATGTTTAATTCAATACTTTTTCAGAGCTCTGTCACCCCTCTCAGCTCCAGAATCCTTCTACCATTTTGTTGTTGTTCTAATTAGTTTTTTCTTTTTGGGAGGTTGGGGGCTAGCCTGCAGAACCAAAATCACAGCATATAATGCATTGACAAATAGCTGCCCTTGATTATATGCCAGGTAATAAACCATTTAGTTTTCGCAGCCATTTTCTGAGGAAAGCACTTTATTCTTGTTTCCCAGAGGTGGAAACTAGCTCTTTAGTAGAAGAGGCCTTCAAGCATGTCTCACTTCAAAAAAGACTTTCCTCTTTCTTCTTACCCTCATGCTTTTGAATATTTGTTTTCTTGGTCTGAATTTTTATGTTTCATAAAGTGGAACTATATTGCCATATTTTCCCAGTATGCTTAGCATCTGTCTATATAGTGATAAGTCTGCAAATTATTTAATATTGACTTTTAGATTTAAATAGTGCATTGTAATCTTAAATATTTTAAAATTCTGTAAAGTAGGATTAAAATGAGAAATACCTTACAGTAAGTTAGCTGTAAGTATAACTATAAAAATTGTGCAGTTTACTGTCCGCACATACTTTGGAAAATATACTCTTTCTCTCCTCTTAGTGTTACAGAGAACCCGAATAAATCAAGCAATGCTTGGAGAGTTTGGAGTCACACTTTATTGTTACACGCGGGCCCAGAGAAAAATGCCTTTCAAATTCTGGGCAAAGCTACAAGCAGAACTTCCCTTTTTATTAAAGAGCCATTCCTATGTGTGCTTAGTGGTTATCTCGCTGGTAGCCTTGAAAACAACACAGTACTATCCAATTAAAAAATACACCTGGCATGGCATCGAGAGTATGGGCATATCTAGTCTCTGGCCTACAAGGTCAGAAAGCTAAATTTATCGTCCTCATTATTCAAGCAGGCTAAAGCAGGCTAGAAAGCAAAGTTATTTTTTTAGAATAAGAGGCCATCTAAAAAAATAGCAGAGAATTCCAAACAGTAGTTTTGCAAAATAGGAGTTAGCCTTCTTATTAGAACTTTGATTATAAAATATTATATTAGTGAAAGGTTAACATTGTGGTACATGGGTAGGCTAAATAGCCATCTCACGTAAAGAAAAGTTGAATTTATTTAAGGAAAGGGGATAGGATATTCAAAGGGAAGGATTACACAGCACCCAGCCAAGGGGATATTGGGTCCATGATGGCAGCCCCCAAGAGGTGGAGTTTCATCCTTACGTGCAGTCACTAGCAGCAAGCTCTTGTAGTTGGTGGGTCTTGGGGCTGGGTTGGTGGGCATGGAATGGGGGTGTGGGATCAGGTGTTTGTAGGACAATTTTAATTCCTTATATGGTCTGATTCCTGGTGTCCAGCAAGTCTTCCTGGTCCTTGTTCTCCTGTAGTGAGAAGCTTACAAATGGCCGCTAAGAATTATATTGCCCAATAGTCCTAACAATTAGCTAATAATTTTCCCCTCTGACTGTACCTCCCTGAATTCAGGTGTAAAATTATTTTCATTTTTGAATCTTCAGCATTTAGAATCATTCCTAGCACATAAAAAGTATTAAAAGAAATTAATGAAGGAATGAGTTGAAACAGAAAGAGAAGGCTCTAATCAACTTTTTTTTTAATTGATTTTTATCTAACCATTATTGTCAACTATAGAATAGTGGATGAATTTCTGGATAAATAATCTGATAAATAATTCTGGATAAATAGTCTTTATCATAATCTGTTTCAGTTATTGGATGACAAATTTGAAATATTTGTGATCTAATTAGCTACCTATCTACTGACCTGCAAAGAATTACTCTGGAAATTATGTAGACTCAGCTAATAACACAAATGCATATAAACAATCAAATAATAGTATAGTCCATCCATGGCTCCACATTTTGGGATTTGGGAATGATTAGAGCAGTAGAGCAGGAGGCATATTAAAGCAGAGCTACACGCACAGTGGGTATTGTAAGAGGCTTCATATAGGACAGTGATTCTCAACCTTCTGTCCCTTTACAGTTCCTCATGTTGTGACCCAACCATAAAATTATTTTCGTTGCTACTTCATAATTGTAATGTTGCTACTGTTATGAATCTAATGTAAATATCTGATATGCAGGATGGTCTTAGGAGAACCCTATGAAAGAGTCGCTCGACCGCCAAAGGGGTCGCGACCCACAGGTTGAGAACCACTGATATAGGAAGTGCTAGAGGAACTAGGTCTTGAAAAGATATGTAAAGAAGACAGTTTGCCAGGCAGCTCTTAGCAGCCCTCATCCATCTCATAAAAAGTATTGAGGAAACACTAAGGACATATACACTGAGTGCCAGATTATTATGACCACCTGACGTTTGTAGGCAAATTAGCCATACACTACATCGTATGTGATATGGAAGCCGAAGGCCTGTTCAAACACCTTTGCTATCTGCAGTTACCAAGATAAAACGTCTCTAATTCGCACAGAACACAAGGATTGGACAGTCGAGCATTAGAAAAAAGTCATGTGGTCCGATAAATTTCTAAATCATATGAATTACTTTATTAGAAATAGTTTTTATTCCCTTAACTTCCTTTTCATTTTTAATTATAGATAGATATAGATAGGTAGATCTAGATATATAGATATATGTATATATGTGTGCATATACACTGAGTGGCCAGATTATTATGACCGGCCAGATTATTATGACCACCCCATCAGTACTTCATTGACTCTTCCAAAAATACTGAATATTGAAAACTTCCTAAGAAAATCCTCTCAAGGTTTTATTATTATTTGCATAGCTAATTCACTTCATTATACTGAGGGGTGGTCATAATAATCTGGCCACTCATGTTCAAATATATCTCACGTTCAAAGGCTGTTAAAATCATGTTGTTTACCCATATCTTCAGGAAAAAAAATCACTTCTGTCGTGGTAAACAACCTGCTTCCCTATTTATAATAGTCTGGCCCTCTAGCAACTTCAGCGCAAAATTATAGCTAATTTGCCTACAGACATCAGGTGGTCGTAATAATCTGGCCACTCAGTATATAGGTCCTTTAGTCAGAAGATATTTGTTGAGTTTTTATTACGTACCAGGCACTGTTCTCAGCATCCAAAAATAAGTGAGACAAAATTCCAGGGCTCACTACGGCCTTAAATCTTAGGGGAACTAGGGCAGAGCAAAGGACAAGGTTATTCCAACCAGAAGGAAGAGCCCATGCAGCAGTATGGATAATCCCAGACATTGGCAAGATGCTGGGTATGGCAGGAGCAGAAGAAGGAGGAAGGGAAGGAGAGAAAGAAAGACCCTGGAATGTTCTTGTTTTTAGAATTTGTTCTAAGTCTCAGCATACCTCTTGCCCCCACTCACCTTTTAATCCCAGTTCATTACACCACCTTTTGTGACTGCAATGATTTTTCTCAGCATTATTTATACTGGGTTTTGCTGTCACTTTTCCACTTGGAAGTTGTGTTTATTCCTTCTGGCCATTGGCTGTCATACAACTCTGCCCCAACTCATTTTCTTACTAGCCTTTGGCTGACAACTTCCCTGGATTCCACCTTTGAACTTGTGGCTTTGCTTAGCCCTTAGTAGGGTTTACGTGAAGGCATACAGACATTTAGTCAAACAATAACAAGGGCCAGAACTAAGGCAGTGACAGTGTTGGCTATGAGAAGCAGAATTCACAGCCTATTTGAACCTTAATTGGAAGGACTTGGGGCTAGTTAAATAACAGGGGGAAAGGGAGTTGGGAGGAGTACAAGATAGAGGTTCCATGAACAGAGAACTCTGGAAGAAGGCCAAGTTTCAGTTTGGGAAACACTTCTTTTTTTATATATATTGATGGTCATTGTCCATGAAGTCATGAGTAGTACAAGTCTGAAATTCAGAGTCAAACGGTCACTAAAGATGTGTGGGAATAATTGTCGTGGAGATGATTTTTGAAGCCCCGGGAAGTTAGAAATTGCCCACGAAAGAAAGTGATGTGGGAATTTTGGACTGGAACACGCAGTGTTCCTCTGGGCAGGATGGCTTCCCCATGTTCTTTGTCTGTCGGAGTTGTAGAATGAAACCACTGAGGGAAGAAGGTATAGCAAAGGTGGAAATTTATTGAAGAACAAGTACAAACTCCCACATGGGGAGGAGAAAGAATCTCAAGGTACAGACTTTCACGTGGGGAGCGTGAAAGAGTCCCACCAAGTTTTTTTTTCCCCCAGGGGTTTATAAAGGCAGCAGTTTTTTTGTGCCTTGATATCTCCTCTGATTGGTTGCTATTCCCCTTTGATTTGGTCACTATAGTAACTCCTCAGCTCAAAGGTGAAAACCTCACATGGGACAGTTGAAGCCCTCCTTCCTCATTGTTCTCCTATTCCCTCTGGGTTCTTCTTCCTCCCTCTTTGAATGAGGGGCTGCCTTCCCTTTATTTTGTAAATGTGTATCTTTTGCTACTCCCAGTTACCTTGACTTATGGAAATGAACCCTTTTGCAGCTCTGTAGCCCTGTGCTTTTTCCATAGACCCCCTTAATTTAAAAAATTCCCTAAACCTACCTGTTTCACCCCTAAAAAATTCCTATTTCAAAAGCAAGAGGCATCCCAAGAAACCATCATCATCACCAGGAAAGGAGTTGTCTGAGGAGCATAGATTTTTTTTAAGTATATTTTTATTGATTTCAGAGAGGAAGGGAGAGAGAGAGAGAGAGAGAGAGAGAGAGAGAGAGAGAAACAT